AAAAAAAAAAAAAAAAAAAAAAAAAATAATAAATTTAAAAGTTTTAAGATACGAGAATTTAAGTTATGTTATAATTTCTGAAAGAGTGGAAAGTGGAATATCTAAAAAAAAAATTGTAACAAAAGATCGATTTAAAAATCGACAAAATATAAAAATTTAAAAACGTAATTCACTAAAACTACATATTATAAAGACAAAAACATATTTTAAAAAGTTGGGAAGGAACATATTATTATTCATAAAGTCTAGAAATGAGTCATGGATCATTCAAAAGTCCGCAAAGTACAACTCAAGGTAAGCCAAAGTCCTCTCTGCTATCAAAGTATTAAAGTGAATAAAACTTAAATCAAAAAACATATATTCCTTAAAGAAAATATAAACATATTAAAGTGTTTATAAGATCTTACCATAATAAAAAGATCGAACTTAAATTTACTTGGGAACTACTTTCTCAGCAGCGGCCGCGACTTTTTGTCTAAATTTTTCTGTGTCATTCATTGAATGAGCCAATTCGCGTAAATCATCGGTATCTAAAAGATTAATGGTGACCTTACTGGCAATAGCACTCTTAAGACCAAGGCTCTGTTAAAATAAAACAAAATTAGAATTTTAGGTTTCATTTAGAATTGTATGTTGAAAATGAAAATAAGTACCTTGACTTTGGGAAATAATCTATCACCAAGTTTTTGTTTTTGTTCATGAATTGGTTTATTTTTAAGCGCTTCCATGAATTCTTCAATTTCTTTATATTCAGGAGTTTGAATTCCATTGCTAACAACAGTAGGAACATCTGTGGAATAACTCGATTTCGAATGAGAAGAAACAAATGGTTCTATTGATGGGGGGTTAGAAGCTGGAGTGGAAATCAAAGGCTTAAGACTAGGAGTCTCAACATCATTGTTAGCAGCTTCTAACGCTTCATTGGCTTCCATAATTCTTTTATTAAGGTGCTGTTCATTAAAAAGACACACAGATCTTTCTTTGGGACTCAAAGTCAAGAGAAGTTCGAGGATTTCCGCAGAATTACGAGGGCAAATTTTGTTGATTGCTTTAAGGAATCTTTCTCTTTGTGAAACTTGCTGATAGTTATTATTGCTGTTATTGTTAACAATTGAAGTTGCTGGAATATTTGCCTCCTCATTACCACGGCGTTTTATGATAGTTCTGGCTTCAGTGATCTAAATAAACACAATTATAAATTTTTTTAAAAAAATCCTATTAGATATATACACATTAAATTTGACAAAATTGCTACCTTTTGTTGCAATAACGAAGCGTCTTTAAGCATTTGAAGAACTTCTGGAACTTTTGAAGTTAGCAACTGTTCAATAATCGGATTAACTTCATCGGGAGGAATAGTAGGTATATATTTAAATCTTTTTTGCAATTCAGACATTAGAACCTCTTTGCGAGCCTTTGGAGCTAAACCACTAAGATCTTCTTGACCGAATTCATTAACGGTATTAATATTGTAAAAATCAGAATTACGTCTAGAAGGAGCGCGGCTTTCAGACGGAGAGGCAGGGTTTCCGTTGAAATGATTGGCCAATTTAGCTTCACGTAATTTCTTCGGTTCATGAAGTCTAACAACAATTTGTTTAGTTCCAAGAGTTTTTCCATGCATAGAGTTCTTCGCTTTATCTGCTTCTTCAGCAGATGTATAACTAACAAAACCAAAGCCTTTTGAGTTTCCAGTTTCCTGATCTCTCATAACACGAGCACTAATGATACGACCATATCGTCTAAAATGGTTGAAAAGATCGCTACTAGAAATATTGGCATCAAGATTTTTAATAAATAAATTGCATGGATCTACGATTGGGCCTTCGGGACCGGGGGACATTGGAATTTGGTTATTGTTATTATTGTGATTATTGTTGTTGCTTCCTTGAGGTGAAAATGTATGCGCCTAAGATATATTATCGTGTAATAATGTTTAGATAATATTGAATTTGAATAAAAATATTCGAAATTGATCCTTACAGCGGGGAGATTAAAACTGTTGTGATTTCCAGAAATATTATTTGTACGAATCTTAGGATTCTTGGGTTGGTATTGTGAAACATTGCTACCCAAAGTATAAAATGTGATTAAATAAAGTGTATCAGAAGTGGTCTTCCCTTGAAATAGACGTATAGATTTTATTATACTTACATATTCTTGCCCTCGAAAACGAAGCAGTGCTAGTCGGATATTTAAAGTGTTAGTTTTTACTTTATTTATTTATTTTTTTCTTTCCAAATTGATTGGATTTTTACTTTGATTGGCTATAATATAAAATAATAAAAAATTTACAAAGTATTTACCATATTTTTCATGGCATTTTCAGCATCCTCTTGTCTGAAATATTGAACTAATGCAGATCCTCTAAACTTGTTGTCTTGTTGAATCTGAATTCTGCACGAAAATAAAGGACCAAATGCCCTAAAGTGTTGATATAATGCGATGTTGGTTGTGCTTTGAGGCAATGACTTAACTTGTAAAATGTACGCAGCAGCCGAAGGCTCATTTCCTATAGTTTTACTTGGATCATTAATAAGCAATCTTAAATATTTAGTTTCCATTTTGATGTTGTTGTAGATAGCGAATGCCTTTTCAGCTGTGAAAATAACGCGAATCGTTGATAATTTACGATTAATTTACAATTTTTAACAGTGACTTTAATACATAATTAATTTATAATTATACGTATTAAGTTTACCATTTTCGACAGAGGAAAAACGAAGAACAGCAGTATTCGCGTTATGACGAAACTCGACGCTATTTAAATAATAATAATATTATTATTATTCACAATCAATATTTTTAAAGTGTTTACAATAATTTGAAAAAAAGTCGTCACTACAAACTTTATATTATTATCAACTTCTTTAAGAATATTTCTTAGTTCATCCTCGTTATTGTAGTGAAAGTCGGTAACATATAATTGTGGTTCACTTAAAAGCGAGAAAAGCGAGTCTGTTTGGTTTTGCATCTTAGGTTTCTTATTGTTGTAATTAGCGATAGATGTATTATTGTCCATTCCCAACTATTTATTCTTTTTTTGTATCTATACTAAATCATAAAGTTTCTGAAGTCCGTATGTTTCTTTTTTTTCTTTTAGGTTTTTAGCATATTATGTCAACCTCTCTAACGGGTTTAAAGAACGGAAAAGGATATTTGTGCGGATATTTATAATATTTATACTATAAAAAACTTTAAATATCACTGCATATCCCAATCTAATATCACATCCTTAAAATACTATTTATATAATGTATTTGATGTGACAAATTGACCTAATTAATAAAAAAAAACGATACTCTTTGCTTTCAAGTGCGTGAATTTCGTTTATAAATTTTATCGGAAAAATTTTCGATTAGACTATTTAACGTGTAAAAATTAAAAATTAAAAAATTAAAAAAAGAAATATTCAATACACTTTTCAACATGTACATCATTACAAAATTTTGTTTTTCAGAAATTTGAAAATCCGAGTAATAATACAGGCCGGCCTAAACTGAAGTCCGTGAAATCGGAATTTGGTTCATTATTTAGTCCGATCTAATGATTTAATTGTACCTATCACATGACACAATGCTAAAGATTTCAAAAACATTTTTGTTGGAAAAAAAAATCGGAACAATTGTTAAAAAAAATATTAATTATCAATGAAACAATCGAAAAAACTCAATGTATGATTTGAGATCTAGATTGAAAGAATTTCTTTGTTCCTAAAATGCGCGTTACACAAATGAAGTATAAAAGTGAATTTAAAGCAGACCTTTTGCATAATCGATACCGATCGTTACACTCATGCCTGATTTGCACGTATTGAAAATGCCAATTTGAAGCTTAAATCAGCCAATAATTAGGCGAATCTTACCAAAAAGTAATATTTTTACTTTGTTAATCACTAATATCAATAAACCTTACTTAAGTTTAATGGATTAGACAAAAGCACAAAATCACGTGATTGAGATCTATTAATCACATGATCGTATGTATATCTTATAATCTTAATTGTATAACTTATAACTCTGGCCAGATGACTCAGCATAATTTTGGCTACTGTACGTATTTGTCGTACAGTAAGCCACTTTACTTTTTTAAAATTAAAAAGTCTCTCGTTTTAAAAGTAGAGTAGATGAAAATCCTTTAAAGTTTAGTGTAAAGTCCAAAATAATTGATCAGGAAATATTATATTCACCATTTATTAGTGGATAATAATATTTTCAATTAAACAAATATTCTTACCAACTTTACCGAGAAAAGAGATCTTGAAAGTTTTTTCATTAAACAATGTATTGCATGCGTTGGTTTATTCCTTTATTATTACTTCCATTTCCTAATGCTCCACCATTTTTTGTTCTGATCTTCCTAGTATCATATTTCCTACATCAGAGACCATGGTAAGGAATTAAAATTTTTTTATTTTAAATTTAATTATTACTACCTATCACATTAAATTAACCAAAATTTTAAAAATGATTCAAAAGCGTGTATTGTACAATATTACTTCTCGCATTATTTTCTAGTACATGTTATTGGGGTCAAGGACGTTGTTGGCTGGACACGAATCATGGACATTTTCTTGAACCAAGAACGATTCATTCTTTAACGTCTTCATCTAATGAGATGGCTAGTGGAAATTTATTAAATAAATCTGGAATGACAGCTTAATCATGTGTGTGAAAATTCATATTCTTTTTTAATTGGTTGGACTTTCAAATATAAAGAACTTTTTTTTTATTTTATATTGTATTTAATTTTTAGAACAAATCATCACTAGCATATTAGTATTATACTTCGCAATCTTTTTTTTTTTTTAATAAAAAAAAAAGCAAAAAATGAAAGGGAAGGGAGGGAGGCGTTTATGACGAATTAGTTGTTAAAAGTGGGATTATTTGGAGAATATCATAAAAAGTTTGTTGGCGAGAAACATTCTAAATTTAATAATCTGATTTGAAGTTTTTTTTTATAGAAGAAATTTAATATCGATTTACAAAATTAATAATAACACTGAAGAAAGTATTAAAGAAGTCTTGTCTACATTATGAAAATAATATTAATTTAGTATTTCATGTAGCCAACAATTTTGTCTTAGTTTGGAAAGAACTATATAATATAAATTATTCTATTTTTTAGTACTAAACACAGATCAGCATTTATCCTGTTCGCAATGTTATTAATGTAGAGGTTCATCACTATTTGAGATTCGGTTTAGATGAAGATATACATCCGTTCCAAACCTAAATATAAGACAATATGTAAATAAAATCCACAGAGAAAAAAAATCATAATTTTTTAAAATAAAAAAAAAATTACCCTTCCATTGAAATTAATTTCAAATCTCCACCAAAATATCTAGCATACTGTTGGAAAATTTTATATTAACAAAATATTTAAAAATCATTTATTTAGATAAATATATATTACCAGTCTACTAAGGGGTAGTCCATAACCAAAACCTGCCATAGGAGCTTTAAAGTCTGATTGACTGAAATTAGGATCCAACGTCTGTGCTTCTGCTGTCGTATACATGTAAGTCCATACTAAAGGAATATTACTTCTTGGTATACCGCCACCTTCATCTAATATTTTAATTGTGATATCCTCTTTTCCTTCGGCTACAATTACTTTAATTGTGGGATATTCATCAACGTCATCACCAAAAAGTTCTACTAAGGCACGTAAACTATTTTTTAATAATTCAAATAGCATATGGTTCAAATGTGTAGGAACATAAGTAAAAGATAACTCTTCTGGGCAATATAATTGAATTTCAGGTGCGCGAAAAAGTCCATAATATTCTTCGCAAATAAACCTGGCATTATCCACTGCTTCTTGTACAGTTTTCGCAATGTTGGTTTTGGTACAAATAATACCTACATAATCTGGTCTTGATGGAAGACGATTAAGCGCAACATGTTGACCTAAAAATAGTCTGCAATTTTAGCAAATTACGTTCAGTTAAAAAAAAAACAAGAAAAAAATAAAAAATAAAAAATAAAAAATAAAATAAAATAAAATAAAAATAAAAATAAAAATAAAATAATGAAATATATTAAATTTATAAGTACTAACCAATTAGTATACGAATTCCAATACGCGACATGTAAAAACGATCTAAAAAGGATTGTATATCTGTATCAATCATAGTAGATTTTTTATGCTGTTTATATTCCAAAATTCCCTGAGCTGAAGTTATAATGAGGACAAAATTATATTAATATTGATTATATTTTGTAAAATAATAAAAAAAAACTTTGTGATGACGCGTCTTACCCTAATTTAATAACAAATTGTAAGTAAAAGTTTTTATATAAATAAAACATAAAATATGAATTAATCAAATTAATCACATACCACTGTAGTTACGACAGGATCATGGCGCCTTTTAATTGCTTCAATCAACTTTGTGAATTTTTCATTATAGTAACGAACTTCAGGCGGCCAATCTATATCATCGACATGTGAATAGTACCTAAGTAAATTATCAAAAATACATGCAATTAGAACTCTTACTTTAATGTTAAACCAAAACATTTTAAAAATATGATGTTCACCCGTGACCAAGTTTTGTGGCTGTTGACATAATGGTAGTTGAGGGATTGGAAGGATTAGAGGTCGCAAAAAGTCTTTCCCTTATACTTTGTGGAAGTTCGGGTTTTGGAAAATTGATAAGCTCCTAATAAATAGTTAGTAATATTTATATAAGCATGTTAAAAAGGTATTAACACTTATTAGTTCTTTCTTTCTTTCTCATAGACTCCATACCATACCTCGAAAGACTGAGCATACCAATTCTTGACTCTAACTATTGATGGCATTTCACTCAAATTGTGTGGTAAATTATCTAATTCCTTAACGCGATGTGCGATACGAATTGGTAATTCATCTATTCACAATAAAAAAATAAATTTCAAAATTGAAGTTTAAAATCTAAAAACGTGATCTTTATAATGTTTGCATTACCCGCCAGAAATTGAGTTGCTTTTAGCAAGGTTCCTTGAGAAGGATTTTGTCCTATGATTTAAAATAAAAAAGTCTTAGTTCAGCACTGTAAAAAAATGCAAAATTTTCCGACGCGCACCGAACATAACCATCTGCCTCAATGACACGCCTGTTTGAGGGAAACGTGCAAAATGCTTAATTTTCTCATACATTTGTGGTGTAATTTTGTACGCCATAATCCTAACTTATCATGGAATCTTCGTGATAAGTCTCTAAAATTAAGCATTAAGTGAAACTAGTAGCGAGGAAAAACCTTTTGGTTTCTATTTGGATGTTACGTCAACGTGTTTATTGGACAATAAGCACGTTCTTCTGATTTAGGTAATAAACAGTTTTAATCAATAAGATCATCATAATATGAGGGTTTTTTTTCTTGTCAAAAATACCAAATAAAAATGTCGCAATTAAGTGAATAATTATATATTAACTAAAATATTTATTTATGATTAAGATGATAACACTCATAATTAAATAATCTGATTTCGATATATCAGTCTATTGTTGATTCATCCGAGGAATACGACGTTTAAATGTTCTTTTTAAATCTTTTAAATATTTTGTAAAAGTAACCTTTTTGAAAAAAAAAAACGTTGTAGGGCGTATCGATCCATGACATTATGGTTCTTTAAATCCAATATCCATCAGTTAAATGTAATTTTGTGACACCTTACTCATTATATACACCAAATATTATTTTTTTTGGTCCTATATTTATAACCATAAATACCTACCCGACACTATTTCTTTAACCATTCACGCTAATATGTATTAAATTCTCTAATAAAATTTTCTATATATGAACATTCTCCCGAATTTAGGATCCATCTTATACCTACCCAATACAGTAACAAATATTATAACCATACATAATTTATCGTTATTAAAAAAGGAAAATTTTTGTACGTTTCTTTTTTTTCTTTTTTTTTTTTTGTCCTTTCCTCTTGTCTCAGTTTTACTCTCATCGTCACAAATAATAATATAGAATGTTTGTCCCAACGAAAATCAATAACCATAGTAAACATTATCAAACAATTTCAACTTGTAAGAAAGAAATAAAAATTAACAAAGCATGCATTCAATGATGAGGATTATAAAAGCCTGTAAAAAATCCTCATAATCTCGCCAAAATATCTTAGTATGGAAGATATCTAGAATTTTCCCTGCGATCTTGACGATCGTCTTGTTTATTTTGTCTTCTATATCCTTGATCATAACCATGTGAGCTATCGCTATTACGATAACCTCCGCTTCCATAGCCTCTATCATCATCAGCATAACGGCCATAAGAAGGACCGCCGCGACGCCCTCTATACCCACCTCTTGGTGCTCCAGAATATCGACCGCCGCTGTAGCCGCCATCCCCTGGTGCATTAGAACGAGGCACATGGCATTTGTAACATTCCATTCGTCTAGCAAAATTATTAGCATTGCATCTAATTTCCGAAAATTAGAAAATAAACTCGTCAAATAATATACAATAATGGATAAAGATCGTTACAATGATTTATAATACTTACGATTCACATGCCCAATCACCATCACGAGGAGGAGGACCGCCACCGCTACCGCTACCGCTACCACGAATGCCCCTAGAAAATCCACGTCCTCTACTACTCCTGCCGCGAGCTCTAAATCCCGAGATTGGTACCTTTCGCACAGACATTTCTACTTTAATGATCTTAAAAGGATATTAATAGAATTAGCAAATTAACCATGTAGATATAATCGTTTATAACAAATGAAAATAGTATCCGAACCTGATCAAGGAACTTTTGATTATCGAAATACTTTATTGCAGCTGCTGTTGAGTCGGGATCCTCATAAGTCAATGTTGCATCTCCCTTAGGAAGTCTGGTTACTTTATCATAATATATCCATACTGAAAAAGACATATATTAACATGGTTTTTAAATAGGTCAAAAATCGATTTTTTTTTTTTTAATAAGCTTACTTTTTGGTTTTTGTGTCTTTCTATCAATTTTTAACATGCCAAGGCTACCGAATTTTTCTGCCAATTTCTCTTCAGTAACGTCCTTACTCAGGTTCGAAATATAAATTGTATCGCTAATTGTTTGTACTACAGAATCACCAGCATAATTATCTATTATCACGGATGTTTATGTCCGTATTATAATAGTAAAATAAGAAGACAAACGAGATCTTGAAATAATAATGAAATTTGATATATCTAAAAGGAACCTAACCCTTATATCCACTCTCGGAACGGTTTCCATAATTGTCATAAGAATCTTCTTTTGTTGGAGGGCCGCTGTATCCACTTTCTCTGCTATTTTCTCGCGGTTTATAGCTATAACTATCTCCGTACGGATTTTTATTACCTCCATAACTAGAAGAATCACCGTAATCACTACCGCGATCAGTATATCCTGTTTTACTTGCTCCATTATATGAGCCACTACCACCAGCAGAATTATATGGTGTGGCTGTAGAACTTCCCGATGGCGAATTTTGACCTGTTTGATAGCTTCCTGACGCAGTTGAAGTAGGATAATTACCATAACTATTATATCCGGAGGAATAGCCACTTCCTTCATAGTTATCATTACGTTGAGAAGTATAACCTTGAGTTGTAGCCGGAGTTACTGGTGGTTGTTGGGTTGAACTACTGCTACTGCTGTTATTACCTCCTGTCTGGGGATTACTTCCGCTATAATAATAATCTGAAGAGCTGGTTGGAGCTGTATACCCACCTTGATTATAGGAATCGTTATCTATTAAAATTTTAGAAAAGAATTCACATTATTTGACACCTGGTGGTGATTCAAAATATTACGGGAAGACAAAGTATGTAATGCACGTTTGCTTTTACATCAGTGTCAATAACGCTTGAGTATATTGAGCTCAAAAGCGTTACAGTTTAGAATCTTACTGGCGAAAGTTAGATACAACACTAGATGTTATTTTCTAGAAGCTTGTATTTAACTTTTCAGAGGATAGACTATGAAAAAAATATTTAGTAAACGCTACTCTAACCTACATTGATATGAACTATTATAATTTCCTGATGAAGGATCTTGCTGACCCCCATAATTTGAATACTGATCCATATTTAAAGGTTGTTTTCCGTCTATTAATACAAATAACTTCCTGTAAGAGATAAATTAAGGCAAACTTGAACGCTAAGCAATTTTTTTTTTTTTTTTGGACTGTCATATTACAGTGGAAATTGTAAACGTCACTAACGTCACTTACGCATCATGTGTACGATATTAACGTACGCACCGGCCGGAGTTAAGTTTAACGCTATCACGTGCAAGTGCATAACTCACGTTATGGAGCATCCTTATCCTGGGCCACGGTCCAGATGCTTATCCTGGACCAGCAAATCTAATTGGATGAGATTGTTTTGTGTAACATTTGTCTTGGAAAAAAAAACAATTCGCGTTTTTTTTTAAAAAAAAGGTACGAAATGCCTTTTTTTAAAGCATTTAATACTACCATTTTAAAGTAATATGTTATTTAAAATTTGTACTTTGGTATGCATTTTATTAAACTTTATTAATAAATAAGTAAAATTGCATATATAACTTTATAAAAAAGGTCTTTACATTATTTTTTACTGTAATTTTATTATTAAAATTATTTTAACGTTAATATCAACAAAGTAATAGTATTATATTAGCTTTAAAAGTTTTGTTATAAATGTGTAATTTACAACCTTTTTTGAACAACTTTGCTTAACCCCAAAACTTAAAAAAAAAACACTTGATTTCCAGAATAATATCAATATATCATAAAACTCTTCAAAAAGAAAATAAAAAACATTTAGTATTATCATAAAACTACAATAAATACAATTAAAATTAAAATATACAAACTGAAATGAAATATGAAATACTAAGTACAAACATACCACAAAAAAGAATAGAGAAAGAGTGAAAGATAGAAAGAGTAAGAGATAAAATAAATTATGCCGGAGTTATGTAATAAAAGGGCTGATTAGCCAATCAAAAGTTGACTGGTCCAGAATAAGCATCTGGACCGGTGGATCAGGTTAAGGATGGCCCACGTTATGAAGTAATGTGAGTAATGTGACACCGATATACGCGTTAATTTTTACGATATACGACATAAATAAAGAATTTACGCGTCCCTAAATTATATTACATTACTTTACCTCCTTTACCTCCTTTTAACGGTGAAATCAATAAAATAAACTTTTTTCTCAAAACAATAATTTTTTAAATATTTAAATTTATTTTGATTATGGAAACAGTAACTAACGAAGCTTTAAAAGCAAGCGGAAGTTGGCTAGCAAAGGAACGCCAAAAATTTGAGAATTTTACTGAAGAAAAATTTCAAAGTTTTTCAGCTGAATGTCAGCAAGAGTCCGATTGGCTCAGAATTTATTTGCAGAATATTATTCAGGCTACGAAAAATGTTAAAATTTTAAAGAAAAAGGAAAAGCCTACAGTTAATAATGAAATAAGTGAAACTTCCAGTTATGTTGAACCTACCAGTTCGGTCCAGCAGACAAGGAAATTAGTTATAAAACGTACTCCAAGATCTAAACACGAAAAACCAGAAATCAAATCCTTGGTTCTCGCGGCGGCTGCTGCCAAAAGGGTAAATAGCAAACTGACCAACTTATTATATGGCTAATATGGCTAATTTTTAAAATTGGGTTAATAGGAACAAGAGAAGCAAGAGAAAAGAGCCAAGGAAAGAGAAGTTGCTCGTCGTCGTGCGAAAGAAAAGGTGTGTTTTAATATATTATTCTATTCTAATTTATCAATATCTTACAAATCATCATTTATTATTTTAAAGAATATAGATTTAATTGGAAGAAAGAAAGTGAATCAAATTCAAGATAATGGTGAAAAAAAACCTGAAATATTAGACTTAAATATTATAGAACAACCTAAACAATTTGTATTACCAGAAGTAGTTAGCGAGTATATTGATTTTTCATTATCTGAAAATATTTATTTTATAATTATTTTAATTCATCCATTCTAATTTCTTATTATAGTGATTCTAGTGATGAGAAGAAAGTTAAGACCAAGCATCAACGACGGCGTGAAGATTGGGAACAGAGTCCTGTATTAAAAGCGACTTTAATACGCCAGGCTTCGATTGATCCTGAAACTATTTTTGGGAAGGTTCCTCCGCTTAATATGGATGGTAAATTATTTCAACAATTATATAATTATTAAGAAAAAAGCCTTAAGTAATTTAATCTTACGCGTTTTTATTAATAGAAATCTTTGAAGGACGAGAACATAAATTTCGCCCAAGATCTAGTTCAGCAGATTGGACAGGTTTGGATGCATTAACAGTAGATGAAGAATTGGAATATAAAGTATACATGGGATTTAGATGAATTTAAATTTTATCAATTCCATTTGATTGTTAATGTCTAAACATTATTTGTCAGTTTAAATATTGAAAAAATCATTTGAGTATTGTGAAAAAAAAACTGATTTTTCATATAATACAGGAATTCAATTATTATTGACATTAATACATTTGCTCTTTGTATCTTGTAAAATCAGTTTATTATAAATATAATACATTTAAATTATTTAATATCATTCAATCGTCATAAAATCTTGTTATTAGTGAGTTGAAAATGATAATAAATAATCTCTTGTGAAGAATCACTTTTTTTTAAATAAAATTAAAAAAAAAGAAAAAAATAGACGAAAAAATTTTTGAAATAATTATAAAAAAACATTGTCTATATATATATATATATATATATATAAAATATATATCTCGGATTTTATTTTTTTCCTCTCTCTCGTGTGTGTGTATATTTTTTTAAATAAACGCAAATTATATATATATAAAATATATATCTCGGATTTTATTTTTTTCCTCTCTCTCGTGTGTGTGTGTATATTTTTTTAAATAAACACAATTTATTTGCGTTTATAAATATATTCTTTTAAAGTTAGAACGTAAAAAATAATTTTTATTACAATTCCGGAAGCTGGAAATTCGTTATCTGCGGTAGATACGCACAGGCAGATAAATCGAGCACATATACATCGTCAAAGACAGAGTGTCCATCATATCCACCAAAAACGAATAAGCGGGAATCATACAAAACAGTTGTATGATACCCTCTACCGGACGGAGGAGTTCCATATACTTTACGGCGTTCCCACTCCATAGTTACTGATTAAAGATAAAAATTATTAAAATATTATCAAATGAATAGAATCATAATGTTTACATACCCAAATTTAATAATAAAACCTCCGACGTATACTTCGACCCATCGTGACCACACACAATAAATAAATAGGAGCCTACTTGTGTGGCTGTATGTGAAAGTCGCGGATAAGATTTTTCAACCGCTTGAATCCACGTATTGGATTCTATAAATTGAAGAAAAAAATCAATTCCCCATCGATAAAGATAAAAATAACAAACCCCAATTTTACCTAAGTCCAATACGTAGACATCGCTGAAACATTCGTGGCCATCGCTTCCACCATAAACCACCAATTTACTTCCCACAAGGTTTGTGGTATGATATCCCCTAGAAATTGGGGGCCTCCCTTTGGGTTCTAATTTCTGCCATACCAGATTGTTTAAATCTGTTATATTTAGTATATATACATCATTGAGGGCTTTAAATCCATCTCCGCCTCCAAAAATGTAGAGATGGTTATTGTAATAAGCAGAAGTGTGAGCACGGCGTGGTGACGGAATGTTTCCGGACGTTTTGGGCTTAATCCATTCCAGTACGTCTGTAATGAAAAATCAATGTGAAAAAAAAACATGGAAAAAAAATTATTTAAATTTAATTTATTTACCCGTATCGAAAATAAACAAATCATTAAAATACGTAGGGCCGTCACCACCACCGAAGATAAATAATTTTTTATCTACAAGCGTAGATGAATGTGCACGACATATTGGTGGTGGGTCTCCTATAGTTCGAGCGCGATTCCAATACATTGTATCTAATCAAACCACAAAATATAGTGAGTAAATTAAAATGAAATCAAAATAAATTTTTAAAATAATACAAACCCGCGTCGAATATGAGTATTGAATTAAAGCAAGTTTTGGCGTCGCATCCGCCAAAGACGTACATTAATTCGCCGACTAAGTTGACAGTATGTGCTCTTAATGCTTTAGAGGGTTTACCATGAGTTCTTGCTTTTGACCAATACATTGCAGGCGCAGGTGCAGGATCTACATGAGGAGCGAGAGAAAGATGTGGTTCGCCCGGATAATTTCTTCTTCCTTCTCCATGATGATGATGGTGATTATGATGATAATGTCGTCTTGTTGATGTTGTTATTATTGGAGATGGATTATTGGTTTGTATTGAACTGTGATTAGGTGACGCTAATGATTGACGTCCTGATTGACCGGGTGAATTTGACGATAGTGGTGGGGTTATAGTGGGAGAGGTAACTGTGGTGATGAAAGAGGCATTGGATAAATAAGTAAGGAATATGCGTAAGAGTAAGAACCGTTAACATACTTTGATTAGGAGAATAGTTCGGAGCGGGGTTAAGAGTGTCTATGCCATTGTCACCAGGAGTTGGCGGTAGGGTAGGAGAATCATCTTGTTGTGTGTTATCCAAACTATCCGATCCTTCGTTCGAAGAATTTGACCTTTGTCTTCAATAAAGTAGTAACGAATTTAATTGGTATTCATTGAATAAATTCTTAATCCGTTCAAATTTAAGTAGATTGAATTATTGTATGTCTTGGCTTTTGTTCACATGTAAGGCAATATTTCTGTAAATATGGGTCAAAGATACAACAGTATTTAACAGCATACCTAGGATTGCCGGTAACCATCTGTGGCTATTGGCTCAAACTCAGATGTTACAGACACAATTTTAATAATAAAAGATGGCTAGAATTTTTTTAAAGAAATGAGGTAAGCGACGAAAAGGTTTCGGATATTGGACATTTGATTTCACACTAAATTTGACGGTTTTTTAATAACGAAGGTTATTTTGTACTCGAAAGCTAATAAAACGAGTACGTCACGCAATTTCATAATCTCTTATGTTATACACGTGACCTTCTCTAGCCGTTTTATAATTTCAGCCCACTCACGTCACAGACTCACAGTTCCATGTTAATGCCGTAACTCCGGTCAAACGGCACGAAATTTTGTACATCTCACGTGACAATATGATAGAATGTTATTGATCTGATCAATCATTCTAAGCTTGAAAATGTTTTTGAAATCTTTTTGGAACATTCGGGTGAGCAATAATAAGATAAGATTATTAGGGCCTATTAAAATTGTTTTTGTAATCTTTTTGTGTATATAGATTAAAAGAATAAATAGTGTGTATCGAAAATATTAAATTTGTTCCATTATTTATCAATTCATTTAGTACACAAAACGTAATGTCTTTAGAATAATTACATCATCATATTTAACGCCAAATGTTATTCTTCGAAGGGAAACAAAATTATATCATAACACAACAACATTAATGAAAGAGAGACCAATTTATTCTGCGGTCAATGATCGGCTTATAGTTGATTCCGATGCTAATATATCTCCATCACAATTTCAAAAAGCGAAAGCATACATGAAAATTGATAAATTAAATCGCAATAAATGGGAAAAACCGGTGTCTCTATTCACAAAGGATTATAATATCAATTCTTCGGGAAAAACTAAAGATGATTCGTTGTTTTCGTTCAGATCAAATAATGAAAAAAATGATCTTCTGTCTGGTACAAAATGGAATAAATCAAATACTTCAAATTTAAATGACAATACGGTAGAAAGAAATTGGTCAAAACATGAATCCGGTATACTTGATAAAAATAGAAGTTATAGAAAGAACTTGTCAAAAACAAATAGGATTAATGATAGATCTAAAGGTTCAGGAGGGAAAACCTATGAAGGATCGAATAGATCGGAAACATTTAATAAGAATTCTAAAAAGAATTTGACTGAATCAAAATATATTGAAAGTATTGATTATAAACCTATGGAATCTCCGGAATTAAAGTATTTGAACAAACATTTAGAAAAACATTCTGCTGAGGAGAAAAAGGTGCAACCAAGGCTTTTTCAAATTGATCAATATCGAAAAGAAATTGATATCAAGCCAGAAAACAAAGTAGATTTTGTTTCTGCTTTAACTGAATTAAAAGCGACTCAAGAGATCAATGTTGAAGGCGAGGATGATCCATCGGCATTCCGTGCGCGTCAAAAATTCTCTTTTAAAAAAGATAAAACTTTGGAGACATTGGTGCATCGTAAACCGAAGTTTTTTAAAAAAGAGCGCGAACTTCAAGAAGAAGAGGAAGGATATTTTGATAGTTTTGATATGGATTATGAGCTTGATAAGTCAAAGAAAAAAGATCAAGCTCATCAAATAAAACAAAAACTACAAAAAGAAATATTTATTCCTGATGCCATCAGCGTCTCGAATTTGGCGAAAATTATTGGCGTACAATTAGGTGAGAAGTACACATGCTTTTAAAATGCAATTTTTTTATTATATTATTTAAATTTTAATATAAATACAGGCTCTAATTTTTTCCTTCACAGCATCTTTTGAACAAAAGTTACAAAATCTCGGAATCGAATATGTCTCGCACGATCACCGTAATTGAATTCGCTTTCCAATTATTTAAAACTTAAGTCTGTATAATATGCTCTATATTAATATATATTTGTGATTTTAGTGTTAAATGCTGAAGAAGCGTCTTTGATTGCTATGGAATATAATTTAAATCCTGTGGTTAATTCAGAAGCAGCAATTGATCTATTTTCAAAGTAAATTTTATTGATTATTACACACAAAATTAGAAAGTTCCGATAAAGATTAATTTTCTCTTAATTTAATGAAATATCCAAGACCAAAACCGGTCGACATGTCTAAATATCCTCTCCGATCTCCAGTAGTTGCAATATTAGGTCATGTAGATCATGGGTGTGTGATTTATTTATAAATAATTATTTATTATAAAGAACTTTCATTTATGTTTCCATTTTATTAGTAAAACAACTTTATTGGATACATTGCGAAAATCTTCTGTAGCAGCTGGGGAAGCAGGCGGAATTACTCAACACATTGGCGCCTTTTCTGGTAAGTGATGTATATAATTTTTGCCTATAATGTTAATTAGGTTAATTAAAAAAAAAAAATTATTTTTTTAGTTACGTTGCCTTCAGAAAGAACAATTACGTTTCTTGACACTCCTGGTCACGCTGCATTTTCTGCCATGCGCGCACGTGGTGCTCACGTAACTGATATAGTAGTTTTAGTAGTGGCAGCTGATGACGGAATTATGCCCCAAACCCTTGAAGCTATTAAACATGCGAAGGATGCTGGAGGTAAATACACGTCTTTTTCTTCCATTACAATTCAAAGATTATGCTCAATGACCATTTGTTTAACTAGTGCCAATGATAGTGGCTATCAACAAAATCGATCGGCATAATGCAAACTCGGTAATTTGAGGAGTAAAACCTATTGATTATCGATAAAAAATTATTATTATTATTTTAATACGGATTTAATAAAAATTTTAGCAAAAGGTTCGTGAATCTCTTCTAGCTAATGGGGTGGAATTAGAGGAATATGGCGGAGAAACGCAATCGGTTGAAATTTCAGGCTTAACTGTAAGTAATTTTTTTTTAATTCAATTTTTTAAGAAAATTAAATTAATAATTTATAGGGACAAGGGTTGGATCAACTAGAAGAAGCTATTATAACACTTGCTGAATTATCTGATTTGCGTGCTGAGGTTGATATCGAAGCCGAAGGTGCTGTTATTGAATCACAAATGGAGAAAGGAAAAGGGTATGTGATGCATAGTTATCTAATTTATGATTTTTAACTTGTCTTGAATTTGAGTTCTTTTCTAGGTATGTTGCAACAATCTTGGTGAAACGTGGAACTTTGAAACAGGGAGATATTATAGTAGCAGGCACAACTTGGTGTAAGGTTCGAATGATGACTAACGAGAAAGGTCAAATAATTAAAAATGCTTTGCCTAGTACTCCTGTTAAAGTTATTGGATGGAAAGAGTTACCAGTTGCTGGAGATGAAGTATTTCAAGCCACAGACGAGGTACTCTATGATTAATAATTTTGGAACGCTAATCCCATTTACAAGATTTTTCAATAATTTTTCAACTACTATATTTATAATAGGAACTTGCCAAAATTGTTGTTGTTAATAGAAAGTTGAAAAGTTCACGTGAACAGCAGCTCAAAGACTTAGAAGTAATTAATGAGAAGCGGAGACAACGAAAACATGAGCTGGATACCGAAAGAGCTAACTCTAGAAACTTCAAGAAAGAAGTATGGATGTTCCATCAAGGTTTTCTCAAAGAATATCCAATGGCAGTTCCACATAAACAAGATATAAAAGAGGAAAAATCTTTGCTGGATACCAATATTAGGGAACTTAATGTTGTTATCAAAGGTGTGATAATTTATCAACGAATATGTATTTCATTTTGATTTACTTAAATTTTTTGATGGTATATTTTTAGCCGATGTAAGTGGTACATCCGAAGCTATTATAGATGCATTACACGGTTTGGGTAATAAAGAAGTTCGTGTCAATATAATTGATTCAGGAGTTGGCGATATAACAGAATCGGATATTCACATGGCAAACATATCTAAAGGTAACATTTTGATGATATAAATTGATTTTCGATTCACTTTAAATTTATACATGTAATTATGACAGCTCTAGTACTAGGCTTTAATGTTAAAGCCGACAAAAAAGTTCAATTACAAGCAAGGATAGATAATGTCGATATGAAATTTTACGAAGTTATATATCATCTTTTGGATGAAATTAAAGAACAATTAAGTGAATTGTTACCACCTATTGTTGAAAAACATGTTACGGGTGAAGCAACTATATTACAAATATTTCAAATCAATGTCAAAAACAAGGAATTTAAGCCAGTTGCTGGCTGTCGTGTAACAAACGGGTCAATATTTAAGAATCAAAAAGTTAGAATACTTAGGGATAATAATCAAATATGGGAAGGTAAGAAATATCTATTTAGTTTATAACATTAAAAAATTTTTTAATTTACTTATCTATTTGTATAAGGCTCCCTGGAAACATTGAAACAAGTAAAAAAAGATATTAATGAAGCAAAGAAAGGTTTAGAGTGTGGGATATCATTTGAAGGTTTCGCCGATTTTAAAGAAGGAGATTTTATCCAAAGCATAGTTATTAAAGAAATTCCTCGTAGTTTGTAAAATAATTATCACATGACAAAATAAAAACGTACACACGTGTTAGTCAGTGCAGAGCTTCTTATTTCGGCATAGTTAATATATTCGTGTAACAATCATTCTTAAATAAACCCGCGAGAAAACCTATCGTCTATCAGAAACAGAATCTTTAAAATCTTGCGAACTAAAATTAAAATATTTCTGTTTATCATTTATTAACTGTTTTCCCTAACTTTCCAAATACCAAAGGAAACAAGAATAAATCAAGAAAAAATGTCTTCTGAAGAAAAGCCAACCATCAAGAATGTTGACATGACCGATGAGATGCAGCAGGAAGCTATAGATTGTGCTAGGCAAGCGTTGGAAAAATATAATATTGAGAAAGATATTGCAGCTCATATTAAACGTGAATTCGATAAAAGACACGGAACAACTTGGCACTGTATCGTTGGAAGAAATTTCGGAAGCTACGTGACTCACGGTGAGTTTGAAAACTTTCGATTATTATTTTAAAGTAATATAATTCAGAGATAGTAAAGTAATCTTCAAAACAAGTAATAATTTGATAAACATTTATATAATGAAAGAAATTTGTTATGTTAACATAGAAAAAAAACGCGTAGATATCTTTTGATCTACAATTTATTTCTAATATTTCTTGAATTTATTATTTCTTTTTTTAATATACTACGAATCTGTCCAGAAACCAAGCATTTCATCTACTTTTACATTGGAAATATTGCTATACTCCTGTTCAAATCTGGATAAAACAAATTTGTGTTTTAATTTATTAATACAAATAATTTTACTATTTTTTTTTCCAAACTTTTTTTTAAGAGAAATTTAAATTATCCTGAATTATGTTCTCATAAAGTCAGGAGACGAAATGCGGATGTATGATTTATTTTTTATGTTGAGCATTAATACATTACAATCTTTATAAATATCGAAAGCATTTATATCTAGAACTAAAATCCACCATTTTTTCTTAATACTTTTTTAAATGTTGGAATTCGAAATTACCGTTAAATTCTCTTATTGAATCGAACTCTTTCTTTTACCTTAATTAAAAAAATGATTTCATTAAATCATGATCAAAAACAAATGTTCGAATGGATTCTTAAAAAAAGAACTTCAATGAATAATTGGGAAATAACAATAATCAAATAAAAAAAATTTATCTATTGATTGTACAACATCGATTATAAACCGCCATTCCAAAATAGATAATATACTTTCATGTGATATCATCCAGTAAAGAAACCATCCAAATTCGTTCGCTTATCACTTATTGCAATTGTCTGTAACCGCTTTTGCTTATATACATTCTTTATTTAAAAATTATTTATTTGTTTTCCCGTTGACCTTTTACAAACAAACATAAAAAAAAGAAAGAACATAAGCCATTTTCAGTGAAATTAACCAAATTAACCACATCTCATCTTTTTTCGTTTTGTCATTTATATGCAAATCAAGTTACGTATTGATTTCTGTTTATTTGTAACATCCGCATCCGCGTTTATGTAACAATATACTTGCTGTGCCTGAAAAATTTTCAAGTTACACATTTAAGTAAAAAGAACAGGCAACTTATCATTAAATTTCTCTTTTTTTTTATATCGGAGAAAGCATATTGTCGTTTGTTTTTTATACTCGGTTTCACTCGTTTTTTCCGGTGTTCTTTATAAAACCATCATATTTCCTACCGAGATTCCGAAAAAATATGTCACCCTCGCAATTTCCTAGATATTACCATATTAATTGGAAAGATCGTCCGAGACCACCGAATGACTTCGAGGAATTGAAAAACGCATATGCAGCCGGAGACTACACTACTGTAATTGAATTGCTCAATAGTTTACTAACAAACATTACTGATCAAGTCAGTAATTCTAAGCGTTTTGAAGCGCATGAACATATTTTACTAGCGCGATCTTTATGTTTTCAGCAAATGAAAGAATATGAACAAGTCTTATCGGATACTACTGAAGTCTTGAAAGTTGCTGTTATAAATGTTACTTTGACTCCTAGAATAAATGACGTCTCAAACGATCATATTTTCTGCCGCATTTTGGCTTATTGGTTTAGAAGCTTGGCATTTGAGCATTACGAAAATTGGGAACGTGCTAAAGATGATCTTGGTGCATTAAAAGTCCTCGTCCTCGAGAGAAATAAAAATACTATAATTACTTTCAAAACCAGAGGTGTACTTTCTGTTTTTTTGCCTTATATCACTCCCTTGATTGCACAATATAAAGTCAATTCTATTATGTTCAACTTACATTGCGTTAACGATCGTCAACGCCGTATGAAGAATTTGATCGCAAAAGATATAGTGAGACGTAATAATCCATCTCAAGCATTCAGTTTAATCGATAAAAATAGTGAGAATTGTAATGAGCTAGCAAAAAAATTTCATTATCGTTTGTTATTAAGAAGACCATTGCATCCAAATATCCATGTAAACATGTGGTATACTCTTGATCTAATGTTCGTCAGTGAAATGGGATTATTTAAAAGAGAAGATTTAGTTGGAATACAAGGTTATTCACTTGGATGTAAATTGTTGGAAATTAATGGTGAAGAAAGATCTGAGAAATATGAAGTTCAAGTCCGCCCTATGAGTGCAGAATCTCGTGAATGGAGCGATTGTACTGAAACGGATTGGGCGGGAGTACAAAATGGAGGCAAAGGAGGTTTGGAATTTCGTATTATATGTACCAAAAAGCAAGGGTGTAACAGACTAACTATATCCGATGGTTCTTTCGGTGAATCTAATGAATTTAGTAAATATAATGGATCTAATGAATCTAATGGATTTCTAAATTCCGAACTTGAGCGAAAAAATTCCTCCTCTACAAATTCTCTTCTTCAATTGTATTTGTATGTTTATCCCATTCTGGAAATTGTTAGCAATGATAACAACGAAAATTCAGAATTTTCCAGCAGTAATGATATTAATGACGATGTTAATAAAAAAATTACTGAGATTAATAATAACGAAGAACGTAATAGATACGTGCAAAAAAATCACCTTGTACCCTTAGCTATTGGACCTATTCATATTGTTAATTGTGAAATGTATTCTAGTTCTTGCGTTCATCACCTATCACCAAATGGATCCATTGCTGCTGAGAATAATGTTGTTACTATCCAATCTATACCTTTATGTGATTCGCTATCTCGTACAAAAAGCCCTTGGAGTATTGATGATTGTCTTGTTGATAATTATCGAGGGTTTGAATTGTCAGATGGAAAGTATCTTATTATTAAGGAATTATGGGATGCTGGAATCCCTGGAAAAGTATGGGACTCAGCGTTTATCGTGGTTCAGATGATCGAGGAGAAGATTCGTAGAAATAGAAATTTATTTTCTGGAAAAAGAATTTTGGATTTGTCAACAGGAACCGGATTTGTTGGTTTATATTTGGCTGCACGTTTGTCTACCATACAATCCGATAAGTCCAGTGAAAAGACGGACAACTTAAAAACCAATATAATATTGACTGACTTGGATTATGCTTTGAAGTTAGTTCGTGGAAACTTAGAGTTAAATAAACACATCTTAGATTTTAGTAGTAAGGTAACAGTTGATGTGGATTCATTACGATGGGGAGATTTGACGAAGGCAGAAAATTTTGGAGTTCTCGATTATGTATTTGCTTCAGATGTTGTGTATGAACCTGGTAAAGAATTTTATGTTTTTGTGATTCATCATTTTTATCTATTTAAAATTTTTATCTTAATTGAATATTAATTATTTCTTTTTAAATAGATTTATTTGACTCTCTTGTACAAACTCTTATATCCGTGTGCACTCCAGGGTGTACAAAGATATATCTTGGATATAAGAAACGAGGGCTAACTAAAGAAGAAGAAACTCGCTTCTTTGATGAATTAGGAAACAAATTTCAAATATCCGTAGTTCAAGGATTAGGTAATTTGGCTGAAGAGGGGAAAGTTAATGTTTATGAATTAAGTATAAAATAAGATTACATCTGATAATTTGCGAAAGAGTATTAAGAAGTATAGTTAAATCTTTACATTCAATTTAATGCACTTTTTGCCTCTTGAAGGAATTTATAATAATGGTTTACTTTGACTATGTTGATATATATTATTTTCAAAATTGCTCATTATCGAAAAAGAAAAATTATAAATTTATTCATGTGGATGCGTTATAAAATAAATACTGAAATGTATTGCAAGAAAAGAAGGATTATAAAATAAAACATTGTTAGTTTAAAAGATATTTGATTTTTACTTGACCGCGTATAGTAATCTTTTGTATAGAAACGCGTCATTTTTTGACATTTACATATGATTGGTAAATTCATAAAATTGCATGAACGTAATGGAGGAGTTTAAATAAGAAAAAAAATAATCAAATCTATAAATAGAATTTTAATTAGGAGTTAAATAAAATTAATCTTTATTTGGATTAGTACATTATGTCGTTTCCAAAATCAAAGGATGTAAGCCTCTATAAACGGTAAAGATATTTTGCAATTAGCGGGAAAAAAGATTATGTTGAAATTTCCATTTGAAATAAAATTTTTGTTCTTTTCATCAGATTTTTTCAAGTTGCTGCGGTCAATCGGATTTAACAGGTTTTTATTTTAAGCAGTTCATTTCGGGTCCCAAGCTCAGTTTAATGGCCCCGATCACTGGGTTCACAAATCACATGATATGAACTTATGTAGGGTATTATTGGTTGCTGCATACCACAATATATAAAAAAATTTTCATCCAATTGTCTTTGTTAATGATTGGCGTACAGTTGTAGTACTAAACTCAGCCAACTGCCTTTTTAGGGGATGTGCCGTTAATCTGCTTTATTATGTTGTACTTTTATCATATAAACTCATTTTTTCCAATCGAATGGTTGTAAGTGCTTGCACTTCGGCTTTACTTCATAACTATTCCGAAGGATTTTTTTTTTTTTACTTTCTTCTTCCTCAAAAAAAAACGAGTCGAGTCTAATTAACGAAACTAAAAGGTGTTTTTATATTAAAAATTTTTTTAAAAAATTTCTTTATTCATTTTATTGTGCTTTTTCTTGCTTACTAACACACTTTTATAATACATTTTATATTAACAAATTATTTTTTATTACTTTTATTTTTTTTTCCTACAATTTCTAATAAAATTTTTTTTTTAATACTTGCATATATTTATTATATTTTATTATTTATTATTTTAATACATATTTATCTGTTTCTTTTATATATATATTGTTTTTCACTTTCTTCATCTTCAATTTCCTTATACTTTACACATATACTTACTTTTTCTTTTTTTTTAAAAATATATATATATATATATATATATTTTTTTTTTTTTTTAAAAAAAAAAAAATTAAAATAATATTATTAAAGGATGGGTGGAAAAAGCGGAAAAAATAGTCTTGAAGCATTAACTTCTGAAGACGAATGGGCAACAATTAGAGGTGAAGACTCTGAAGCAGAAAAAGAAGGAACCGGTTATTCTAGTCAGATAGAAGATAAGAAAAATGAAGAAATTACAAACGATTTGAATGAAAATAAGGGTAAACGCGGAAGATCTCATATTTCTTATAACGATTTAGATGATGGATCAGAATTAAGTTCAGTAGACTCAAAAGATGAGGATGATTTGGATAGTAGCAGTGAATATAAATTTGAAGAAGAGGATGATGATTCAGCAAGAGCTGGACCAAGTAGAACTGCACAACCAAAAAGAAGAGGTCGTCCAGCAAAGAAAGCACTCCTTTCCAAAGATAGTGAAGATGAAGATCATAAATCTATAGAAAATGTGTTGTCTAAAAAAAATGGTGTAGTTAACAAAACAGTTGGTAAACCAAGAGGAAGAAAACCAGGGAAACCGGGAAGACCAGCTGCACAAAAAGGTAAACCGGGTAGGAAAAAAAATCCGGTTAAACCTATTGTTGATGATGATGGTAAAAATAATAATAGTACACAACCAAATAAAAGAAGAGCTGGTAATAAACGAAAAGATATTGATGAAAATGATGTTTTTGCTAGAGATAGAGCAGGACAAACTAATTTACATCGAGCTTGCCAGGAAGGAAATTTAGAGAGAGTTATCAATTTAATAAATAAAGGATCTGACATTAATGCTCAAGATCATGCAGGTTGGACATCACTTCATGAAGCTGCATTAGCTGGTCATTTGAACATTGTTGAATTCCTTTTAGAACAAGGTGCAGAAGTTAATGCTGCTTCATTTGACGATGGTGACACACCTTTACATGACGCAAGTGCTAAAGGTCACGCGGAAGTTGTCTGGGCTTTAATGCAATATGGTGCAGATCCTGAAAAAACAAATGTAAAGGAAGAGAAACCAGAAGATCATGCAACAGATGATCGTGTAATAAATTATTTAAGAACATCTATTGAATTTGTCAAAACACCTGGAAAAGCAAGTCAAAATAATAAACAAGGACAATTACAGGATAAAAAGTCAAAGGATGAAGGTAACAGTCGTGTTAGTGATTCAAAATTATCTAGAACTCAAAGGAAGGAACAACAATTAATCAGGACCTTTCAATCTTTACAAAAACAAGAGGCAAGAAAACAATCGAGCGGTGGAAAGCGTGGAAGACCACGTATCAGACGTGATGATAATAGAAATGATAATTCAGGGTCTAATATTTATTCATCAGGTACCAGAAGACGTTCCCTTAGAGACGGTAAAAGATTAAATGGTGAAATGCATAATAACGGTGCAAGAGCATTTACTTCAGCAAACGATGTTTTAAGAATGGATTTAAGATTTAAAGATCCATCAACTGGTCGAACAAACCTTCATTTGAATGCAAAACGTGGTAATAGCGAAATGGTTGCAAATATGATAGAAGCCGGAGCCAGCTATCTAATTAATACAAAAGATTATAATAACCGTACAGCTTTACATGAAGCAGCTTATGAAGGTCATACTACAACCGTTGAAATATTAATAGCTTTAGGTGCAGATGTCAATAGTAAAGACCATAAGGGTAATACACCACTCCATGACGCATCGCATAAAGGTCATGGTGATGTTGTTAATATATTATTAACTAATAATGCTAAGCCCGATGATAAAAATATTGATGATAAAACACCTCTTGACATGGCCAGGAAAAGAAGAGATATTGTGGAATTACTTTGTGATACTCTCGAATTGGATGCTGATGAGTACTTAGGTAATCAAACTGTTGAAACTCCGAATCAAATGCAGATAGACTCAAATGAAGAAACGAGTTTATCGGAAGACGAATTTTCAGATGATGAATCAATACCTAATACTAAAAAATTAAAAGTAGAACATCGTAAAAATATAGAACTAGAATCAAAGGAGTCAGACGAATCAGATGAATTAATAGAAGTAGAAGTTTCTGAATCAATAGAAGTTCAAAAGTTTGAAACTACGATACTTGAAATATCCAATAGTGATGTGGACCTATTTTATACAGTTCAATTAGCCATAGATCGTCCAGGATTCCCAATAACCGCATCAACAGATCCTCCAAGTTCTCCTTCGTTTGTTGTTGATTTTCAAGCGGAATTATTTTTGCGATATCCCTTATCTACATTATTACAAAAACATCCAAATTTAGTACGGAGAGAGGTAACATATGTAGAAAAAGAAAGATTATGGCCTTGTCTTCGTTCAATTATATGGAATCCTCCAAAATTTAAACGTCCTTCAGAACTTGGTATATTAGAAGCAGAACAAAGAGAAAAATTCCTAATATATAAAATGCATTTTGTCAAAGTTAGTTTTTTAAAAATATTAAATTTTTTTTTTTTTAATATAATATATATTTTACACATTTTCTTTTTTTTTTTTTAGTTCGATCAAATCTTAGAAATTTCTAATATATCTAAAGATGATATATCGACAATACCATTGGATATATCAGATTATACAAATAATGAAATGGAAGACTCTGATGATTTAAATGGCGATGTAGATTGTCATGCTATGGAGATTGACGATTTCACTTCTAAATTGCCACTTACGCCTACTTCACCAACGACACCTTCTACAACTCAGTGGGTTTCAATGACAGATACAAATCAAATACAATCAGCAATTAAGAATAGTCAACTTAAAACAAGTTCTGGAATAATAAAAAAAAGTTACTTCAAACCTCCACCACCAAAACTAGAGTTAAAAGTTGGATCAACAATTAAAGAACATGAATAAATACCCGATATAGAATTATATATTTTGAATGTAGAACAAAAATTTATATTATTTTTTTTTTCATATTTTTCCTTTGTCGCGGGTAGTTTAATTTTTTATTTTGTAAGAGGGTACTTACTCTACGGACATCAAAAACGAAATGATTTCTTATAGATCATTTAAAGTACCTTTTGAAATAGTTCACTTTCTCTTTCAGAAGTTCGAATATATAAAAAATATTTTATAAAAATAAACCCGATTATACGTTGTTTAGGGTTTATTTTTTTATTATTATTTTTTTTTTTTTTTTTTTTTTTT